CAGCGGAGCCGCACAGCACCGCTGCCCGCCGGGGCCGCCGCTGCCCGCGCCGCCGGGAGCCCGAGCCGCGCCGCCCGGCCCCACACGGCCCCCATGCAGCCGCCGCACCGCCCCGGACCGCCCCTTCCGCCGCGTCGGCTCCTTCCGCCCGCTGCCGCGTCACCGCGGTGCCCGCACGGGGATCCTCAGGGATCTCCCCTCGTGGTACGGCCTCATGGGATCTCCCTCACGGATCTCCCCTCACAGTACACCCTCAGGGGACCTCCCTCACAGTACCCGCCCATGGAGTTCCCCTCACGGATCTCCGCTTGTTGCCCACAAAACCGCGTTCTTTCCCCGGTGTGCAGCAAGCCGATACGGACACACACTGATTCTGTTTCAGAGCTGCTCAAGCCCGGGTGCTCCGTGGGATTCCACAAGTCGAGAACAACTACCGGGCTTTCCACGTCATTATTAACACACAGAAATTCAGTCAGTAACTTTCCAAGCACATCCCCTCTATTAGAAATGGTTAGTAATTTCCACACTGGTAAGGTAATCCCAGCCAACTTCTCTGCATGCTCAGGGGAAGGGTCTGCAACTGGGCACGGTTTTTGACTTGTGGGCATGAATTTTAGTATTATAATGAACATAATTCAGCTATAGGGTACATGGACCTTGAGTATTTTGCCAAGTTAGCAATGTACACATAGACGTACATGAACATCTTCATTTACATCATCCCTAAAGCTTGTTAGTTCCAGGATGTCCTTGAATAAGGGATGCTAACTGCTATCTGTTCCACTGACTAGGTCTCCTTTTTTGCTGGTTAGGTTTGAAAATATACAAAGATATCACATCAAAGAACATCCTGACTTAAGACAACCTTGACATATTCCACATTTTGCAACACCCGCACAGGGGCATCTCACGGATCTCTCTTACAGGGCTCCCCTCACAAGGCTCCTCCTCACGCTTTGGAATCTGTCCTTCCTGCCCACAGTTGTATAAGCAGTCACAATTTGGGACAGAAACTAAAAAAAAATAATTTTAGGGAAAGAAGAGCTTCATTCTGATTCCACCAAAAAAACCCCCAAAACCTGGACTCATCTTCAAGGGGCTCCTGCTGCCACGCTCCCAAGTCCAGCATCTACCTGCATCTCCATTTGCAAAACAATGCTTCAAATATGCAACAGAATATGAAGTTGTAAAATAATATTTAATTTTATCAGAAAATGTACAGGTTTGAGCAGCAAATAAGATCTATATATTATACAGTGAACCAGGCTACAGTTTTGAACGCAATAGACATATTCTGGAAAAATTCAAATAGCAATATGAGAAACAATATGAGAAACAAAGGAAACATTTCATTTTTTCTTATGGGATTTTTGGGGGATTTTTGTTTTGGGGTTCTTTTTTAAAAGAACAGAATCTTATTTATGAACAAAGCAGTACTGACAAAAAAAAAGTATTTTAATGAAATATTTTCCCCAGTGGTACAAACACACAGAAACTGCCTAGTGTAATATAATATATAAAATACTTCAGTCCTGTTTTTTTCTGGATTGTTGAAGTTAATGTTCAAATGCTCTGCTGAAGCTTCGTTTCTGGCCTCTGCCCCTGAATCTGTTTCTACCTGAGCCACCACGCCGCCCATTCCTGGAGCTCGAGAAGCTTCGGCCATTTCCTCCTCCTCCTCCTCCTCCACCTCCTCCTCCTCCTCCTCGTGAGGATTCCACTAACTCCGGTAATTCAGTCGCCACACACAAACGCCAATGTTTTGAATCTTCCCATTTTGCCTATTGAAATAAAGTCGGACATAGCAAGTTAAATTCTAGGAATGTCAATACAGGGTATGTAATAATTGTTAGGTTTGCTCAACTGAAAAGGTAAAATTCTGACCCAATATATGGAATTCAAGCTTCTAACTGAAGTGGCCAATACTGGTTTCAAAATTTTAAGCCTTCAATTGTTAAGAACACCACTATAATTATTACTGATTACAAATCCACAGCCTACCCTCAGTTACCCTCTAATCCAGAGCCAAATATTGCTTTAGGAGTGAATGAATACTAGGCCATGAGGGTATAGAGATGCACTACCAGAGAAACACCTGAAGCAAAGACAGGAAGTCTAGGGAATTTTGGCATGGGAATACTAATTCTGCCAAGAGAAAACCTGGAATTCACTTTTCTGTGGAGAGAATTCTGGGTGAAAATGGGGGCAGGGAACAGAAAAAAAGGGGAACAAAGCTTGCTGCTGATGAATCCAGTAGCAGTGACAAGGAGTGGAGTCTTCACACCACCTCTTTACTCAGTGTAAAAGTCTCAAGCCACAGGGGAATGGCTTAGGAAAGGCATTCAGGAAAAAACCACCATATGCTCGTTCTGTTCTTAAATTCCTTCAAGCCATCCCTTCTGCCACTAAAAGGCAGGATACAGGTTACATTATGTTTTCAGTCTAACCCAGTCCAGGCAGTCTCATCTACAGTCTGCTGTACCCAGAAATTGCACTGAATGTACCTCTATTTCTTTTCGGTCTGCTGCAGGAACGTCAAAGCACACACCCTAAAAAGAAAGAATAATTTTAATGGATACAAGTCAAGCCTTTTAAAATGACTGCAACTAAAAACCATAGAGCCTACAAATATACACCTGACAGACAGGCACTATCAGAACTGTATGTCCTAAGAAATCCTATTCTGCTCTGTCATTCAGTTAGCACACACCTCATACCTTTTAGCTGTCCTGCTCTCCCCACAGCCATGCATTATCCTACCTCCTTAGCACAGCAGCAGAGCCCCACGTCCTAATACAACAGATTGAGGCCCAGCAGTCCTGTCCTTACCAACAGTGCTTGGAACATGGAAAAACACCAAATACCTCCCCTGACCATTGCTGAGAAAGGCCTGCAACAAGCAGAGCCCAGCATCAGAGACACAAACCAAAAACTTACCATTTTTCCCTTGAGGAAACACATTCTGTTCACCTTACGATCGACATCGTCGCCCAGCACTTCTCGCAGCCTTCGCCACGCGTAGCTCATGTTGTTTATTTCTTCAGAGCAGCGTAGGATCATTGTAACAAAGCCCTGAAAAGAAACGGGGCGTGTTCCATTCCGTCAGAGGAATCAGCTTCAGCACACTGTCACACACCAGAGACCTGCCGATCTACATTTATTAACTGCAGCTCCAAATAGATACTGTTACAGGGACGTATCTCTACAGCTGCTATATTGTTGCTTTAACAAAATCAGTAGTTCCCAGTGACTCAAACAAAATCTAGGGAGACCAACAATTCTCTTTAGACAACACACAGGTGTGTTGTTTTTCTCCAGGTCCAAGGCAGACATTAAGCCATACACCCTTCCTTACCGCATCCGAGTTCAGCAGCGAGCGCTGCTCGATGGAAGTAGCGCCCGAAATATGGGCCAGAGCTGCAGCCAGAGCATTAACTGGTCCCTTTTCTTTTATCAGCAACTGAGCAGATTCTCTGAAATACTCAATAGCTGTCTGAGGAACGGAATCCAGGCACCTAAGTAATTAAAGCAAAAAAATTAAAAAACATATACACTAATATTCACTGAGGTCTGAAAGAGAAGAAAAACAGTAGTCCAAGACTTTAATAGTGATCAGAAAGTTCAGAGAGACAGCAAAGAGCAACCCAAAGAGCCATTCTGAACCAGGAAGGCAGGAAGATAGAGCAGGACTCAAGTTCCCAAACACACCTCATGGCATCTTTGCTGGAAGCCTTTATTATGTCTGTTGCAGTAGGAACACCAACACGCTTGAATGTAATGCCCTGAAATTTAAAAGGCAAAATACAAATTAAAATTGCAGACCATAAGTAAGTCAGTTCTAAAGAAGCAGTATTGAATTCCAACAAAACAAGCATTTAAGCCTATCATTTTTCTTCTTATTTTCACCTTTTAACTCCCAGTTTTTCCTAGTGAAAATTGCAAGGTTAAGGTTACACGTAAACGGGTAACACTTAAAAAGGCTTTTATGTACCAGGTCAGTTTAAATGATTCAGTGACCTTAAACTGAAATAAACAGTGAGCATTTTGGCAGAGTCCTGGGGAAAATGAAGTCCCACAAATTCTAAATTATTACTTTTAGTCTGATTGATTCGGATGTAATACAAGTTACAGAGCCTTAGTGTAAATGTGAGTCTGCATTTTAAGTGCCAACAATAAACAATCTCATCCCAACTGAACACTTAACTGTCAAGAAAACTACCATATGGAATAGTGCACAAAGTGCAAAAATGCAAGTAACACTTCCCAGTAAAGCTGCACATATGCACATCACTGATCAGATCACAACCAGGATGAACACTAGACTGTAAGTCCTGTGAGCTTTTCCTCACTTCCACAGGGACAACCTCACTGGCATTTGCAGAAAAAGCATGGGCATGTGCAGAGCTCTCCCCGCTCCACAGCAGCTGACAGTGCACCCACACTCCCCAAGGCACCTGAACCTCCACTGGGTGCCTCCGGAGCTGCATTGTGTAACTGAGCTACTGCACAAAACATTACACTTTAACATACCACCCTTAGCACATCAGAGCACTCGCAGACAGAAGGAAACTGTACTGTA